CAATATGTTTATTTAGCAGGAATACAAATAATGTTTAAATCACTATTTAGAGAACGGATAGACTCACCCTTAACTATAACTTTACATGATGGAAGAATAATAAATTTAAAAGACAGTCATTTAGGAACAATAGAAGGAAATCTGACATATCAAAAAATTATGTTTACATATTATCCAAAATATTGTGCATCATTAAAAGATAGAAACTTTAATGAAGTTTTAGGACTATATTTCAAGTTTCATAGAAATGATATTATGCAACCAGGTGATCAAATTATGACTATAGAATATAGAGCTTTATACACATTTACCAATTCTAATTATGGTCCAATAAACCATATATTGAAATTCATAAAGAATGTAAAGATATTAGTAAAATAATAGAACCAAATAAACAAATAAGTTTAATTCCAGAAAAATATAAATTTAGTATAGCAAAAAATAAACCTGTAATAACAGAATTAAATGAAGGAGAATGTTCTAATAACATAACATTTAAGGATGAAAAATTAATTAAAAGATCAAAAAATTTAAAATACTTAATAAAAACCAGTTAGAAGAAATCAACAAAATAAAAGAAATAAAATTATATAGAGATACTGGAAATGTGAAAATAGAAGGGGAATATTATAATGGAATAGAACATATAAATGGACCAAATATATTAATAAATACCGAAGTTAGTGAATGTCATATAGTTTCAATTAGAAATAAAGGATTAGTAACTCATAAAACTGAGCCATATAAGTATATAAATTTTGATGGACGGGAACATATTAAAGACTTGGAAGTTAAGGTACCAATAAATATAGGAGGAATATATCTTTTAGTACCATGTTACATAGATAGAAGTATGGATATAAACCCTCATATACTTTTAGAAATGAGTTTTCTAAATGGATTAGAAGATTATAGTATAAAAAGAGAGTGATTATTTATTGTTCATAATGGACAAACTACATTATGTAAAAAGAATTAGATGAATAATCAGATAAGTTTTTCATTAGCTGTATATATACAAATTACTATTGTTGAGACAAATATAACAACTTGTGCATTAATAGATACAGGAAGTGATATAACAATATTTAAAATTTTTTTAATAAAATCATGAAATAAAAATAGTAACATAAAAATAACTGGAGACTGGGGTTATAGGAGAAAGTACTCAGATAATTAATAGAGCTGATAAAGTAAATATAATTCTTGAAAGTAAACAAATTACAATAAGTAAAGTATATAACTATGATAAATTAGAATGTGATATATTATTAGGAAATGACTTTATTCAACAATTTCAATTTTATAAACAAAATAATCATATGATAATGCTACAAACACCTTGTAGATACTTATTAAAGATTTCTAGAGAATTTAAACCTTATAAAGTTCAACCAGCCCAGCGTAGTGATAAATGAGAGAAAAAACCAATCATAAATAATGAAATAAAAAATAAAAGAATAATATGTTAAAAAGTTCTAAAAACGGGAATAGAAATGAGTATAGAAAAAATCATTGACCAACTAGAAAAAGCTTATGAAAAAAATCCATTATTATTTTGAAAACCACATCACCCAAAAGCCAAAATAGAATTAACAGAAACTATTATAATAAGAGTAAGACCAATGATGTATACTATAGAAGATACACAAGAATTTAAAAATCAGATAAAAGAATTGTTAGAATAAAAACTTATTAGACCTAGTAATGGACCTCATAGTAGTCCAGCCTTTATGGTTATGAAACATTCTGGACAAGTTAGAGGAAAAGTTAGGATAGTTATAAATTATAAAGAATTAAATAAATATACTAAATTTGATGGTTACTTTTTACCAAATAAAGAAGTGTTAATAAATCTTGCAAGAGGAAAACAACATTATTCTAAATTTGATTGTAAATCAGGATTTTGACAAATAAAAGTAGAAGAAGATAGCATACAATATACTGCATTTAGCACACCTCAATGAAAATATGAATGGTTAATCATGTCATTTGGCCTAAAAAATGCACCACAAATATATCAAAGAAAGATGGATAATATATTTAAAAATTTTAATCAATTTCTAATAGTTTATATAGATGATATATTAATATGTTCTAATAGTAAAGAATAGCATAGAAATCATTTAATCCAATTTATTAATGAATGTAAAAAAGAAGGAATTGTACTATCTAAAAAGAAATCTATAATAGAAAAATAAGAGATAAACTTTCTTAGACTATCAATAGATAAAAAGGGGATAAAATTACAGACTCATATATCAAAAAAAATAGAAAGTTTTTCAGATAAATTAGAAGCCAAAAAATAAATTCAAAAATGTTTAGAATGTTTAAATTGTGCAGAATGATTTATTGAAAATCTTTCTAAGAAAAGATATAAAATCCAAGTTTTACTTATAAAAACAAATACTAAGGGATGGAATGAAGAACATACAGAAATAGTTAAATCATTGAAAGAAGAATGCAAAAATTTACCAAAATTAAGATTACCAAATGAAAAAGATAATTTGATCATTAATACTGATGCCTCAGATAAATATTGGGCAGCAATATTAAAGGCAGATCTTAATGAAATTTGTAGATATTCAAGTGGAAGCTTTAATCAAGTAGAAATAAATTATACTACTCGTGAAAAAGAATTACTAGCAATTATTATAGGAATAAAAAAGTTCTCATTGTTTTTATTATCTAAGAAATTTATTGTTGAAACTGATAATTCTCAAGTTGCAGGATTAATCAGGAATAAATTACCATCAGAACCCCAATACGGAAGGTTCCATAGATGGCAAACTTATTTAGCATTTTATAATTTTGATATAGTCCATATTAAAGGAGTTAATAATTTTCTTGCAGATTTTCTCACCAGAAATATAGAATTTGCTGATGGATAAAGTCAATGCCAAAGAGTTATACCAATCTATTTCACATATACAAAAAAGGACAAATTTTCTTAAAAAAGAATCTGAAGATATAAGTTCTGGAGCAACCCAAATCTCAGAAATGTTCAACTCAAATATGAAAATATTGTTGAATATCACTACTGAGCACCATAAATATGCCATAAAACTTAAAAATCAAGTTGATGCTATTGCAGCACAACTAAAAGATATACTGTCTGAGACATATATACTAAAGAGCTCAGAAATGAGTTTTCCAAATCAATACCAAATAGGGATAGCTGGAAGCAGAAGCGGACCCAGACGTGACAACATATCAACTGATAATAAAGGAGATTCCATTTCTGTATCATCAACCAAGAAAATTATGATACATGGGGATAAAAGAGATACTAAAACAATCAGCATCATAGACCAAGAATATAAAGTCCATTTAGATTCAAACGAAGGAAAATATGCCAAAATAGTGAAAATCGCTTATGAAATAAAAATAAGTTATTCATATTTCATTTTTTCGGGAAATAATGTTTACTCCAAAATAACAGTTATGGAAGGAGGTGACCCTTCATTTATAAAAATTATAACAGACTATGGATTCATGGATTTGATTTATCCAGGAAAAGATTTGATTTAAATTTCAAAGTTTGATAACATATTCATTAAAGAAGTATCCAGATTTGCCAAAGGAATGAAGATATTTTTAAAATTCTATTCAATCAGTCCAGAATATGATAGAGTTGTTTTCTATTCAGTTGAACACATAATCTCAATTGGATATATTGCAGCTAATTTTCAAATTGATTTTACAGAGAATAATAGAAAAGTCCCAACAATGACAAAATCATGGATCAGACATAGAAGAGCACTTGGAGTTAAAGTCATTTACAACATTGCCAAAAATTTGTTTGATAAAAATTTCTCGTGCTTATGTCAATATAAAAATTGGATACTGGTATCCAATGGAGGATATGCAAAATCCAGAAATTTTAAAAGATTATATTACAAAATTTGATATATATCAATTTCCAGGATATCCTACCACTATAAAAGAATCCAGCCAACTAAGGGAGTGCCCCAATTGCATGTGAAGAAATGAAAGAAGATGACAAAGCACCTTTTGACAAATGTGTATGAAGGATAATAATAGTACATGTGAAGACATTGAAGATAAAGAACAATAATAGAAAAAGATGCCATTTGGATAGAAAAGTTGAACCAACATGTGAAGATGTAGGCCCAAGAAAGAAAATAGAGAGGCAAGAGTGCCTTTGCTGATGTAATCAATGATATAATAGAGTCTTATAAACTTGTATAAATAGAGACATTACCATAAGAGAATCTCATCTCATTCTATCCTAAAATCTCAAGTTGTAAGCAATAGCCCATTCTCAGTTTGAAAAATCAGTTTTTCTGGAAATTCATTTGTATCAAATAGAAGTCTTGTATAAATTTTGATAGAAATAAAATTCTAATATTTTGATATCAATATGAGTTTCTAAATATTTTTTCCATAGATTCTTGAAAGATCTAATAGAAAGTTTCCTTTTTATTTTAGCAAAAAGAGAGTTTTTTTTAAGAGAAGTCCAGAATTTTATTTTTTAGAAGCTGATACAGTGAGAGCAAGTAGCTGAAATAGTAACAATTTCGTGAAGGTGGGAGACCGTTGAAGGAAGTAGTTTACAAATTCAGAGCTCGAAAGTCACTCGATTCTAAAAATACAGGTCTAGATCAAACCTAAGGTAAAATTATTAAACTTTTGCTAAAATTAGAATGAATCTTTTTAAGATATTGAAAGAATCACAGAGACAATTGCATAATAATTATTTTGATAAATGTCAGGATATATAATTGAATGATTAGATAATTTATTAAAAAGAATATTAGAAGAAATAAAGAATATTATATCTCAATTAAAAAATATAAATTTACCATTTGAATAATATGGTATTTTACTTAGAAAATGTGATATGCATGTTGCAGATTATTTTTATTTATTAGATCATAGAATGATTTTATATTCAAAATAGAGTAAATAGAAAATAAAATAATTAAAAAATTAGGATATATGTTCAAAAAATCATTTCATTAAGATTCCATAAAAAGGAACAGGACTCTTTCAGAAATTTCTAAATTCACATTTTTTAATAGGTTTCGGACATTGACGAGGGTTTCCTTTGCTCAATTTACCTGCCGTTCTCTCAGCATCGACCATTTCGAATCATCATAAAATGCAGCAGGTGAGTCAAAATCAAACCTAAAATTGCACTACATTACGCTGATTTTTGTGTGTATGCGTTAATTGATATGATTGAATATGAAAGGCTGGGGCATCCGGTTCGGAAGTGGAAGTCACATGGGAGGACCAGCAGAATATTAACAAGTTTGGCAGATTAAATAACAGGCTTCACGAACTCGAAGATGAAATCAAGATCGCTAAGGTACCCCTTTTTGGGCCTTTTCACTTTTTGATCGTATTTTTTTTCCTCAAATTTTCAAGGTGTGTTCTTCAATGGGTTTTTGCCATGTTCTCGTTCTTTTGTTTGTAAATATGTGGTTTGTGTGACTTGATCGTGAAGAGTATACAAGAAAATTAAACATAAGTTAATACCGATTTATGAATAAAAAACAAAAATAGATTCCAAACAGTTAGAATGAATTATCATATGATACTTTAGAAAAGGAAATTCAACTTAGTTATCGATAGAAGTTAAGATTTGAAAGTGAGAATATACAAAAGAGTGCCACCTATATATACATATACGTAACTTTGTTGGCTCAAATTTCTAGCATTCAATCAGTGTATGGTTTGACTCAGTGATTAGTACTAGATTTGGAGAAAACTCTCAGTTCAAGCAAATGATGCAATAATATCCTGTGATATTGCGGTTCACGACAGAGATCTTTTTCATTTGTTTTGCTTGTTTGAAGTGGTTTAATGACTAAAAATAATATTGAGACGAGCAATCTTATTACGATGGGACATAAAAATTTTGATCTTTTGGCAGTGAAGTTGTGCCATAAAGTAGGAAAATTGGTCTCTGCTACCATTAGATGATGATTTTTGGTGATGCTTGAAAAATAACATAAATGATGTATGGAGACCTTTGAGTTGAAAGATACAGTGACTTCTATAAGGTGGTGTCAATTCAACTGAAGAAAATGTTGCGTACTGGGAATGAGATTGGCTGTTGTCCACAGGGTTTAGCTGCATAAATGGATAGGCCATTTTCCCAGTTAGAATTTCAATGGAAGAGGATTACAAAATCTAAGTGTTATATTTATTTGTGTGACTGCTTGAGCAGAATTTCTCATGGCTCACGGCTCTAAAATGGAAATTCTGAGACATGGGAGGATTTCACAGATGGTTAGATTTAGGTATTGATGGCTCGATACATTTTTTGTGATTGGAAACATGGGCCCATCACTTTGTAGTAATGAAAAATAATACAATCCAACACCAAAACTAGTGTAACTTCTGAGTCAGGATTCTGTTAGGATTTTGTATAAATAGTTTGGAATATCCAGTTTTAGATGAAATATTCTTTCACCCAGGAGAAGTCTAACTTAGAATTTGTGAATCATATTTAGAAATTCAATTTGATTCTGGTCAGTGATGTGGGTATAGAGTAATGATTTGTTTTTAATGTTGCTTTCCATCATCATTTGCCTTTTTTGATGTTTGAGTATCCCTCTGAACAGTGTACATGTGTTAGTTTCTTGAAGAAAATGGGCTTTTTTCGGTCATCGACAGTGGGATTAGATGCAAATTTGGCAGCTGGAGTCACTAGAGGAAGATGGTGGTATTAAGCTGGTTATTAGCAGTGGGAGTGAGTGTGAGAGTCTATTGTCCAGTAGTTTGGAAATGTTGGAATCTCCTTATTAAATTTCTTATGACCTGGGAATCGTGCTCTAACAAGTCTTATATACAATGATACTATTAATGCATGTCATGTCAAGTCACAAAAGCTAATATAGATTTGTGACTGTAAAGACAAAATATAAGACTTGTTCTTTTATTTTGGATACCAATAATATCACAGGTTCGGTTCCAGTGAGTAAAGATGTCATTTAATACTAGTTCTTTTATTTAATTATTTGGATTTTTGCTTCCCTGAAAGGAGTAAGAACTTATGTCATGAGTGCCACAAAAAGCACACATAAGATTACAGACAGGTTGATACATCACAGAATAGATGATGAGCTAATGATTCCCTTTGTAGAGGAAAAGTTTCCTCATCTTTCCCGTGAATCTCGCACTCCATCTAATATAAAAATTCCCCCCTAAAAAGGGGAGAGAAAAAGACGTATGGGATTCTGAATCTTTTTAATATGCTATATCAGGCTTAGTTTCTTGGAAATAAATTCAACTTTTGGAATCAACATGTTGATGAGCAGATATTTGGAAGCAAAAGGGGCTTTATGTATCTTTCAAATCCCACTTTTCATGGCAAGCTTTTTTATTCCTTTCTGTTACCCACCTCCCGAAATTTGTTTCATAATAAGTTGAAAAAAGTAGTTTTAAGGGATTGGACCTAGAACAAGGAAAAGAGGGCACGCATGTTCTATTTCTGGTTACTTATTTGGAAAGCTTCCACTCTGATCCTTAAGACTTATTCTCCTCTCGCTCTGTGCTCTCCGGCATTGCCCCATATTCAGTTGTTGAGCTTCTGTCTTCGGTCTCAGACTTCACTCCCAGAATCTTGCTTGGCTACTTCTTGAGAGTAATGAGGTACAGATATCTATGAACTGGTTTCAGATCTATAGCAATATTGTAAAAAATCGATTTTGAAATTTTTGGGATATGTAGGTTGAGCATTACTGGTTGATTTGACTTAGATAATATAGTTGGGCACATTTAGAAGATTATAAGTTCCAAAAGGCACATGAATATTTCCCTTTAATTAGTTTAAGTATGGGAGGGCCGGAGGGGTATTATGGTGATTTAGTAGAATAAATATGAAGGCTTTTAACCATAATTAAGGGGAGGGAGTTTTATAAACATTTAGGCTGAATTTGGGAGAGTGAGCGAATGCTCACAATCTATTGTAATTTCTTTCAGTTTATATCTTGTTTCAACTGTTTTGACTATAAAGGTGCATCTGACCTTTGAATAGCACAATATATTTACACTCCTCCCACTCTCCCCAGTCGTGGCTTTCTCGACAAATTCCAAGCCTGAAATACAATTCCATTACGTTCTTCTAAATTTAGATTCTAGTTACGTCCTTCCGACTTTATTGTCTTATTGTGTCATTCTGAACAGTTGGCTTACTTTTATCCTAAAAAAATTTGTTCAGGAAACAAATGAGAATCTCGAGGATGCAAGCAGTGAGTTGATTCTTACTGATGAAGATATAGTGCGATTCCAGATAGGGGAGGTATTTGCTCACGTCCCAAAAGATGAAGTCGAGAACAGGATCGAGCAGATGAAAGAAGTTACTGAAAAGAACTTGGAGAAATTGACTGAGGAGAAGGAATCCATAGTTAGTCAGATGGCTGAATTGAAGAAGGTTTTGTATGGCAAGTTCAAGGATTCCATCAATCTCGAGGAGGATTAGCGATATGTTACTGGTCTACTTCAATAGACTTTCGAACTATATTTGGCTTTCTTGGATATTGTATTCTATGATGTTGATCTTTCATTGAGCCAAGCCAATTCCAAACAAGTCCTTGCTATTTGAGTAAAATCTGACTTTTGTAACTTGGCCAGATTTTATTATTAAAGAAAATAAACGTGAAAAATATGCTTATTAATTATTGTAGTTTATATTCATATAATGTAAAATAATCAATAAACAACTCCTCACCACCTCCCACCGAAGCCTTGGTTATTTTATGATAAAATTGCGGTAGAGGTCCCTCATCTCTCGAAGAACATAAATAGACTTCTAACCTTTCAAATCTTGTTAACGTCACACATTTGAGTATCATCATTTCTTTTAACGAATTTGAATTCTTCAGTTTTTTTCTTTATATATATAGCAATGAAAATTCATTTGAACTGAATCTATCAAAAAGATGATATAGTGCGCGCCTTATTTCTTATATGACAAACAAATACATGCTTAATTTAATATAAGATAAATAAGAGGAGCAGTAGAAAAATAAAGTGAAGAATTTCTTTAAAATCAAAATCTTAATCCTTCTTGACATCGTGCAAGCGAGATTAAAAGAACCTATTTATAGTATTTTGTAAAGGTTAAGGATCTCTTTAGCAATTTTTTCTCCTTTAGTGGTTATGCTCAATTCTATTTTCCCAAATTCGACACACAATACACGAGCAAGAATAAAATCTCTTTCAAAAGAAAAGCTAAGCTAAAGATTGCAATTTTCTCCTTCAAAAATTCTGAAAATGGCGACCATCCCATCTGCCGCAATCAATCTTGCACTATCTACAAGATTTAAACCATTCATGGGCACTTCTCTTCTGGGTTCTTCCAGTTCAGTATTCTTCAATAACAATATCAGTGGCTGTGCCAATCTGAGCCTGGTTCTTGGTGGGTCGAGAAGAATGAGCAGGAACCAGAAAAAGGGGATGTCGTGTAACTGCTTGTTCGGGCTTGGGGTGCCGGAGCTGGTGGTCATTGCTGGAGTGGCTGCCCTTGTTTTCGGGCCCAAGCAGATTCCGGAAGTCGGCCGCAGTATTGGCAAGACTGTCAAGAGCTTCCAACAGGTCCATTTTTTTCCTTGTTGAGAATGTTAGTGTGAACATTTATAATTTTTTGAAGGCATGAATTTATATGCTTTATAAGTTTTGTGAAAAGTGACTGAGTTGACATTGAAGAAGATGAATGATTGGATTTTGAACATGGAGGATTTTTTTAATTTTTAATTTTTTTTAACATCAAACTCTGTCTGAACAGATTAAGGCCAACTCTTCGTCCACCTATGCATCCTCGCACACTAGAATACACTGTTAGGTTTCCAGTCAATAGGACCGCAAAATTCTGTCAATGAATGTAATCCTCTCTTGGAAATATATTTGCGAAATTTTTGAATTCTTGGAAAGTTCCACATAGACGGACTTTTGTTTCTAGTTATCACTATTTAAAGTATATTTAGTTTATGTCCAAGTGGCTTGTGTTTACTGTAGGAAGTGCTTTCAGTATAGATTCAGGATATGAAGGGTGGGCCTGCAAGTGCAAACATCTTCATGCTTTCAGTCCGAACTCCAAAATCACCTTCTCGGCCTAGTATAAACATTTGAAGAACTTTCAACAACGCTTATTTTGATTCTAAAACCATTTTGGACATTGATGTCTTAAAGCTGTTTAGGCTGAAATAACTTGCTAGCGTGATTCACTCTTCATCTCAGGTTCTCATTTTATTTATTATATTTGACTAATTAAGTTTATCATAATTTGATGTTGGATGTGATACTAAATGCGTTAGCATCATGAGAAACCCTTTCTACCAACATTTGTGTAGAATGAACTCTCCAATTATTCAGAGGCTTGAACATGGCAACTTCCTCAAGTTTAATTTTAAGTTTGGTTATTATTAAAATCCATCCCCCTTCCCCAGCAAAAAAAAAAAAAAATGGTGTGCCTTGCCTTGCCTTCTTGTGCTTTGACAGAAACTAGTGTTCCTATTTCCTTTATATCTCTGTAAAATATTTCCCAGTCATCTAGTTCTGTACTTTATAAGATATTATCCTTGTTCAATATAAGTTGATAGATCCTATGTTTGTACACCTACATGCCTTAATGTGTATATGTAATATGTCCAATATAGACTTAGTATAATCATTCAATAGTGTAAGATCATTATGCTGCAATCTATCATATTAATCCATATGCAGAACCATGATAGTGCCTTAGGCCATAACGTTCTCAACTTAATCATAAGGAAATTCATTTATAATACTTGAAATTTCATACGACGTGTCCAATATGAACTTGTTCTCTGAGAAGCAAACTTGCAATTAATGCAGCATCTAAGTTGATGATATGAGTACCACTATCCATTCAAAGAAGTACCATGTGCTGGTCTTTTTGCATTGTTCGAGCCTAATTGATACCCAATTACTTCTTTGCTATCTTTTTCTCTCTCTTTCAATGTTTTGGCCCTTTTCTGGACACATTGATAATCATCTGTTCCACTGGCAACCACCGTGTCTTAGCTTTTTCCAGTTGAACCTCTTCAACACTTTTTCCATGTACAAACTCCTACAACCATGTCAGTCTATCTCCATGAAACATTATTCTCAGATTAAGGTTGCCTCTCTTCTAATGTTGCTGATACCATTTTTGTGTTATCGATCAACAATAATTTTTTATGTTCACATGAAATTAAGATAGTGACAACTTTCCTACTTATCTTATCGCACACATGATTTATATATTTTCACGATAAAAACATAGTGCTTTGTTCGCGTTCTTTGTCATGATGTGCTACAATGGCTTATAAAATCCTAATGTATTTAAACATCGCTACCTCCCAAAAGATCTCTTCACAGTTAACTACTGTCTTTGTTGATAACATTTTGCCTTTATGTCTCTATCTTTCCGTCTCTTATTTCTCACTTGATTACTCGTTTGCAGCTAATATGTATCATATCTTCTGGTGGATCAATGAGCTTCCAAACTTGATTGAAATTCAAAATTTTGTTTTAGATATCATAGTCTAGACTCTTACTCAAGTTGATATCGGACATGCAAGATCGTCTCTACAGTTGTTATTTCATAGCAGGAACCTGGTTCATCAACATCCTCGTAAAGAAATCCTTAACTGTCTGGAAGATGTGATACTATACAGATCTCCTATAGCTGTGTATTAACTAGCGGCCTCAGGCATTAGTAGTAGTCTGTGGCTGAATGAAAATTTCTTTGATTTATATTTTGTTCCTAGGCCTTCATTATCAAATACGCTTATCCAAGAAAATGGCGTTCTTGCAGAAAATAGAAATAATATCCTAGTGACTCTTTAGGATATCATACCTTTTTGTTTGCCTTTCATTTCCTAGCATAAGTTGGATATGCTTAGGTCTTAACATTCTTATGACTTCTTTGTTTTCATACCTTATAGAGCACGTGGATCAATTTCGCGGGAACTTATTGAAAAAATAGATTGTGGCAAGCACAGCATGTTAGAAAGGATAAAACAATATAAACTCATTATAAACACTCCAAATCCAAGGAAGTACTATTCCTCTTTTTGATACCCTATTTAATTCAGGTGTCACTTTGGGGAGTCATCTGCATATTAATTATATTCTCCTTCGAGACAAGTAAGGAGTCAGTATTCGTCAATCATATTGAGGTGAATATGAAGTACATACAAGGATACGAGGTAACAAGGGAAAAACATTAGGGATTTGTCAATCATAATGAGGTGAATATTTCGTTCATTCACCAAGAGATTGGATCTTTAAAATCAAGTAGTTCCTCCCACTATTTCAGATGACATATTCCTTTCAATGAGATAGAAAATTCCTCGTTGACAAATTATTTTTATGGGGATTGGGTCCTATCTTTAAATCAACTCACGTAACACTTCATACATTGTTGACTTGTTAGAAAAGATGAGTAGATAAAACTCGTCCAATGAATACAATGCATGCTCTGAGCATCCTTCCACCCCTAGAATACAAGAGCGTCACATATAGATTCTACACTCCCATGAATGAGTTAGTCTGCCTCACACTTTCTCACATATAGATTTCTAGGTCCTAACAATGATTAGTCCCGTGCATGTGTACTCTACTAGCTTACTGTGGAAGACTCGACTTAATTATGCTTTGACGAAGAGTTCAGTAATCCAGTATTGCTTTGTTATAGCATATTTTTAAATTTAAAGGAAGAATCTGGTCATTCGTTTAATATTGCTCTTGTTTAGCATGCAAATTTAATTTACATGTTCCTCACAAATATATCTATCCTAAGGTCAACATGGGCTATGCACGGTTCAACTTGAGTCTTAAAGTTGGATGTTATGTAACTAGCTAGTTTACACATATGTATGTCATCATATCCTGAAATTATCCCTTGGCCTATCTACTATCATCCTGTTTTTTCTACAATATTTACCAGCAAAAAGTGATCATTGACCAAGGAATGCACTATAATAGATGAGAGATTACGAAAAGAGAAAATAGATAGGATAACATGGCTTGAGAAAGCTTATGTTATTACTCCTGTTTGTTGCATTAAATTTGAACTCTCTGCACATCACAGTTAATTGATTGTTGCATGTCTTACACATCATACAGTTTACATTTGTGCTCAAAAGTGCTTCCTAAAACACGCCTAACAAATCTCCACAAGTCTGTCAAACTTCTCGCCTCCGCCTCTTGTCTACAAGTTCTATTTTAGAACGAATAAAGGAAAAGGAAACACTCCATTTGGGATTCTCCTTTCCGATGCTATTTTATATACACATGCATATCACATACCAACACAATAATGAAGCACGTTTACTATTTTGACAATTTCCAATTGCAGGCTGCAAAAGAATTTGAAACAGAACTGAAAAAGGATACTGATTCTCCATTGGAGTCGCCTGAATATATTACAAGAGTGAGAGAAGAAGAGAAGCAAGAGGCCGAAGTCTCGAGCATGGAGAGTTCTTAAATTTGTACTTTCGTACAGTGTCTTGATATAGCTTCTTGTGTGCAACAATTGTTCTAATTACATTATAAGTTGTATCCTAATAGTGTCGCACATTAAATCCTTTTGGTCCAACTGCACGGGACTTGACAAGAATCGAGAGCTTTCATATTGGATCATATTCGACCCGAATGATAGAAATGGCATTTTTATTCTCTAGTATTTCCTGGAGTGAGGGCATGAAAGGTTCTGATTGCATTTTTTTCCCCTTTTTTATCAGGTAAATAAATTGCATTGATCAAAATTATGGGTACAATTAGTCCAGGTAAATCTGGACATACAAGACAAGACATTACAATGAACTAATGATCCAAAACAAGTATTGGAGTGGGAATCAAAACATTGCAACTTGGGTACATCAAATACACGAGGTGCTAAACTGCTAAACGGTTCAAAAAACCTCCTAGAGATTATTAAAAATAATAAAAAAATAAATAAAAAATAAAAAATCTGTCAATAACAGTTCATAATCATGCTGCCGAGTTTGACTGCTTGAAAAACCTAGCAATCTTCAAAGGTATCTTCGAAATTGGATAGATAATTGCCAATTGATGAAGATCATAATGGAAATTTTTCTTGATTTGTGCCTTGGAAATCTGCTTACCAGGTTGGAGTGCTTGGGCAGCATTATTTGAATAGGATTCTCCAATTTGCTTACCCACGCTTTGAATTTTTGGTATCAAGATCAATAATGCTGAAAAACCCAGGCAAGAAAGTTGCACTAAAATGAACCTGTAATGGCTGACAGATTCCACCATAAAAACGAAAGAATTTTCCAGATGGCCAATCAGGCTGCTTGTTAACAAGAAACAAATCTAGAATGCAGGCCGTTTAAACTTCGAACATGCAGTAAGCAGCTGAGCAGGCAAATCAGAATAGAATCAAGAAACACTCCTGGGACGAAATTTAACGAAGCTGCTGGCCAAAATATATTCTTCCAAATGCCTTTGTCAAGTTGCTGGGAACGGCCACTAAACTTCAAGATACCCAAATAAACTGGATGGGTAAAGCTAACACCCTGCTGAACATTCTTCAACACTTCAAACCAGCTTTAAATATTCCAAGAGAAGCTCCAAGAATCTGGGTTTAACTACGTAAAATAATTGCAAAATCAAAACATGCGACCTGCTGCCATTTTCAAGTCTTTCAAGGCCAATGCTTAACCATTCTTGCCGGTCTTCAAAACATCCAAGACACTAGATATTCTTCAAAGATCACTAGAATCTGGACAAATTTTAACAAATCTGCAATGCTAAATTTGAAATTACCAAGTAATGAAAGTAAAAAATCAAACGAGGATCAATGAGCTCACGAATGCAAAGGACAACTCTTAGTGAGAGTTTTCTCTCACTAACCCCTACCCTTTTTTTTCAATGTCCAGGGTTCTGATTTAGTTCTACATATCGTAGCTTATTGATGGAGTATTACAGTGCCAAGGAAAATGCTTCTATCATGCATATATACACAGAATAATTGAATCAATCTGAGCAAACTACTGTAAATGATGTTCAGTTGCATTAATTATAGAATGATCTTATAAACCGCTGCTTTCCTTCACCAAATGAGCGTCTTCTATCCCTTCACAATAATATTTATCCATATTGAAACCAACAATCAAAGCGGTTTAACCATATCTATCCAAGAGACGTATAAATTGCATGGCCCTAATTACAAAATTTGACAGCAAAATTATCAGACTCGATTCAACTATTTGAACCATGTCCCCTTCTAGAATAGAATGAAAACAAACATAGTCGTCTACTTAGGTTACTATCTGAATATGGACTACTTTTGAGTTTCTTCAACAAGGATTGGAACCAGTTTACTTGCTAGTTCAATACAAAGTTGTAAAAGGAAACAAATTTATACAGAAGATAAATTAACTGTACAAAGGGATAACCACAACCTGACTCTAAGTCTGGGTTAGCCCACCAGCAAATAAACCAAACTATATATACAACCCAGCAGCTTGTGTCAGCATTTGTCAATTCTAAATTTTTCTTGGTTCTCCAGGTCCTGCAAAAGTAAGCAGCATTGCAAGCAATGTAATTGTTGATTCAAGAGAAAACAAGCTGGCTTCTTTGATTAAGACACTAATGCACCATCTACTAGGTTGAGACAGTAATAATCAGCAGTAATGTGTTGTCATTTTTTTCATCAGTCACGAAGTCATCCCAATGCCATCTCTTAGCCCTTGAAGGCTTGCGTGCAGTGTTCTTTGTACACTATCAGCAATAACCCTCAACCTTCCCTGATTAGCATCCCCACCAGAAGATCCATTCACTTCAACAGTTCGGCCTACCCTCTGTTTACATTTATCCCATTCCTCGATTCGCGTCCAGCACGCACGGCCACCATGGCTCCCCTCCATTCCAACAAAAGATACATTAGGATTTTCACCAAATGAGTATCTCAATCTCACTGAGACGCAGTATGGCAACCAAGCAGCACCACCAGCAGCATTTATGGGTGGTATGTGTGCAGGATCAAGAACAACTGTCAATGCAAAATCGACCGAGTTATGAGCCCGGTCGTAATGAATATTGCTTTTGGACGTAGATGAATTTTCAGAGTTCCCATCCACATTAAATCCAACATGATTCTCAAGACAAAGTTCAATGCGGGATTTCTGTGCAGGAACTATATCACCACCTTGCACTTGAGCCAATCCTTTCTTCCATGCAATAAGTTTTAAAAATTCCCTTAAAACTGAAATTGGTAGAGTCAAAAGCGTAATAAAGGAAGCAACACGAGAAGCATCGTAAGGCTCTGATGCAACCCGACGACTAAAGTAGTCACATATCTCGCCTATTTCAGACTGAGTTAATTCCTCTTGGGCAGCAGCTGCATTTTGTTGCTGTTGTTGTGAATGATGAAACCTTTTTACGCTAAGGACTTGGAGAAGAAGTTGAACTCTGTGAACACTAACAGCAAAGACGTAGCCCCTGAAAAAGAATCCTTTCACATTAGAAGGTACAAACAAACGATCAAAAATTTGAAGAGGCGTATGCAACAAACTTCTTTTACAAATAATATAATGGCACAAAGGATCTATAAATATCAATGTTTTCAAAACCTGGTTCAGATATTGGATGAAAAGATCAGAGGACAGGGTTAATCGTGATAGAACCCGAGAATAGAATAAACAAATTAAAAACAAAGCACGCAAACATAATACATGGCAATAAATTAATTTTCATCAATTTAAAAAAAAAATTATATCAATAACTAAATAATAAAGTTCTATGAAGTAAAAGATCATTGTAACAACGATACATTGCTAAATTATTACATCACTTTCTGATAACATACAAGCTTTCTAATAACATACAATTTTCAATTTTATACTATTTAATATTTGTGCCTCTATTCACCACACTCATTTTCTTTCAATATTCCTTTCTTTTCACATGCCTTCTCCTCAAAATCTCTCTCCAGTAAAAGAACCGACGCACAACTCCCTCCCTCTTCTGATGAATAAGAACTAAACCTCATATTTAGAGAGGAGATTTGGATCCTGCTAAAGGTCTTGGCATTTCAGTTAGCAGACCCGCCCCTGAAAAAGCTATTATCATTAGATGGATCAAACCACCTCCAGAATGGGTAAAATTAGATGTTTATGGGTGCGCTATCGGAAATCCAGGATTGGCATCAGAACGGGCTTTATTTTTTATCATTTAGGATAGTATATTAATGCATTCTATGACTTCTATGGAACTAGCTCCAGCTTTGAGGCCGAGCTACGTGCTATTCTTGATGAACATCAACTTTGCTCATAATTGGAATTTTTGCACTGTATGGACTGAATCGGACTCAATTATGCCCATAACAAGTCTTGTAAAGAGTAAGGGGGCCCTCAGAATGTATAATTAATTTGCATCAGATCATGCAACTATCGGGCAATTCTTTAGCAGAAAATTGAATGCCCAAAGCAAAGAAAACAAGCCACAGATTGGTTTAATGAAACTGGTACAAATAAAGTGTTAAAAAAATAAATCAAATCAAATCAATGGATCTCCATTTGCAACTCAAAAGCATTATTTTTTGGATCAACAAGGTATTTCTTGAATTCGAAATAATAAATGCAATAGCAGAGACTTATTATAGGGCTATTTGCCAAAATGATAGCTAGCTTTGCAAATTAGTGTACGGTTAATTTCATTTCATATTAAGTTCACTAGTCTGTAATGCAAGTAGTGCCTCCAAATTTATATTTCTGTAAGTACTACACTCTTTTGTAGTTGCATGTCCCCCTTCCATTTGTAAGAATCTTTTCTATCTATAGACATGTTAGAGGCCAATGCCAACTCCCTCAACTGAGTCGGGATGAAGCCTAAAAACCTTAGATGGTTTTATTTGAAAGGAAAAAAATTCCCACGTGAAGATTGATTCTCTTCATGGTTAGTCTCCTCCCTTCTCTTTTTTCCAAATAAGTGCATTTTTCCTCGAGTCCAATCAGTCAATTAAATTTGTGCCCTGACTCTTCCTTTCACCTTCCATTACCTCCCTTTCTTTACAATTTCTGTTCATACCCCCTAAAAGAGCCAAAACCCATGAAAGATTAGAAAGAGACTGCCCATATCAAATTCTACAGTGGAAAAGATCATGCCCATATCAAATTCTATAGTGGAAAAGATCATGTTGTCATCGAATCTTTTGATGAGTGTAGTGATCATCTAGCCAACCCTAACTTTATAGGGGAAAAGATCTAGTTTTTGTTGTCATTGTTGTTGGTCAGATGGTGGTTAATGGAGAAAGAGGATGCAAAAGAAAGCATTTTGATGACATCAAAAGCTTTGCCAAGTGTGAGAAGGTCAACCAGAAAACAGTGTCCAACCTTTTGCAGAATGTATAAATTGGCAATTGTAAATTGAGGAAACTGCAGATGAGTCGGCTGCTAATAGATGAAAGAATTATATCTGAGTAAAATGGTCCACAAAAACTGAATTAGGTTTGAAGAATATGAGATGATGAAACTGGAAAATAAGAGTTCTCTTGCACCAAATATGATGAGGCAGCATTGATAATTTTTTTTTTTTTAATGATGCTACGGTGGTCTAGCAAAGCAAAAATGAACTAGACAATGCATTTGTTTCTTTTTAGTACACAGTGCGGCCTTGAAACAGAATAGGAAAATTCAATATCAAAATGAAAAGACCAAATTGGTTCATTTGAGGATCAGACAATCAGGGGGGCTAATTCATTAGTTCTTGATATTCAAGAAATTTGGATGGAGTGTGACAAAAGCTGGCCCATGGAATTATGACTTATCAAGGAAGACCTTGCAATCCAATTTAAACTTCTGACAACCAAATGTTTCCTGCGGGAATAGAACTAAATTTTTTTTCCCTCAAAGTCTACATTTTCTTTGCTATAAAAACAGAGAAATTTAGCATTGAAAATGTATCTTATAGCATTACCCGACAAAGAAGCGCAAGGCCGGCTGCTCCTGATCCAAGTTCAGTAGTGCACCTTCATTATCTTTCAGAATTGACCCCAAGATCTCTCTCAATAGGTCTGGTAACTGTGCAAACAGCCAGAGTACTCCAAGATACTTGAGAATACCTCGAAGGACTTTTTTAAGAGCCACAACAGGGACCCATCCGCCACCATAACCTCCATCATCCCCAAGTCCAATTATAGCAGTATTTAACTCCCCTCTAACATGGGCAGGGACACCAGAGCCAGGTGATCTACGTAATGGATTCACCGCAGCCAGATTTGTAGGTCCTGGAAGAGCATTTGCTATGCGGTTGAGTCCAGATATTGCATTTCCTTGACGAGAGATTGCAGCAGCAGAATTTGAGAGGTTCGTTCTATTTCCATTGGCAGCTGACAGCTGTGGACCTGTACTTGGATTGGGATTACTTAAATTTGTGAGTCCAAGTGCTTGTTGAGCCCCTGGAAAATTAGAATCTATGCCATTCAGTTCCTGAGCTACATGCTCCATAATAAAAGGTCGAAACTGTGGACATGGCAGTGATCCTCCAACTGATGGACCCCCTCTCGGTGGGGTTGCTGGTTGCAACCAGACTTGATCTCCTGCATAACACCGCATGTCTACAGCAAAGTTTTTGCGGTATATTATCCGAATCCAGTATGGGCCGCGAAGTACTACAGAAACGTCAATAGGCAACAGAGAACTTGGAACAATGCCAGAACCACCTCTTCCAGCAGCAGCAGCTGCAGCGGCTGCTGCCAACATTGAAGCAGTAGGGTGGTTGTGACTCCCAACAGGACCAGACGGGGTAGGTCCACCAGGATTACCTGCAGAACCAGAGGAAGCTTGACTTGTATTTGTGTTACAATTGCTTGGCAGATGACCCTGAGACGGCAGGTACCCACTCTGCTTCAAAGTAGAAGAAAAAGATGCAGCAACACCAGGAACCCCAGAAACAGGAGCAGCTCGTGCAGGCCGTGTAGCAGCAGCAAGAGCATGCAAGGGTCCAGCAGTAAGTCGAATGCAGTCCAAAAGGGATGCAACTTCAGCCCCGTTGATAAAATCTTCCAGAAACTATAGAACAAAAGTAAAACCATAAATTCATGAATTTGTCAAGAGAAACCAGGAAGAAGAAATCTAATTTGATCAGCATATCAACACATGCAACTTTAAACAAGAAGCAAAAACTGTGCAGATTATGCAGTAAATAGAACGAAAAAATGTTAAAAGACTGTCCTTTGCAACTCCCATCATGCTCAGTTTAAGGATCTGAACTTCACGGTAGACATTACAAGAATAATTGATGCACCATAATAGACCGGACAAGGAATAATATGATCCTATCAGTTGTTTGGTGCAAATGATATACGGATTAAATCAATCTGGAGAGCTTATCCTCCTCCAGTCAACTAGATTAAAATAACACACTCTATAGATGGGTTTACACTGGATTACTAATTCACATGTCATCAATTATAAAGGAAAAGATTAGTTGATTTGAAACATGTAAATTTTATTTAGTTTTTATAATAAATAAGTTTTTTTATTAATTTAAGTCAAAAATTAATTTACTTATTTTGATAGTGAGGTAAGAATTAACAAAGGTAATTTTTTGATTAAAGAAAAATAAGTTATCCAAACATTCTGTAGACAAAATGTAAATTTACTAGAAGTAAATCTACTCAAAAGTAAATAACTAAGTTTTAAAATAAATAACTTTGTTTAATCAAAGTTTAAAATAAGTTACATATTTTGACACAAAGTTAAAGTAAGAGAAAAATAAGTTATCCCAAACATATTTAGAAAAATAACGTTACTAAAAAGTAATTTTCCTTTATTTTAATCTTAGACAAAAATACTAATATGCTTTTTTAATACGGTGTAGCACCAAACACCGTAATTATAAAATACACCCTAATCCACCTTGATACAGTCCCCTCCAATTCTATCCCCTTATCCCAAAACAGTGTACCAAACACACCCTACATATCTAAGGTAGACATCCATTGCTTCAATAACCGACACAAAGACCAGGCAAACCGAGAATATAGTGCTAAATGCCTACACTTCGGCGTAGAAATTATATATAGGCATTCTTTAGTTCTACAACCGAACCCCCTCTCCCTTGTGAAATAGAAAAATGATTACGAAACCCAATAAATCATAGGAACACTGACCTGATGTAATTACACAGGATAACTAAGATAACAAAAAATAAAATGTTATTTTAGACTAAAAAAGGAGAAGATAAGTTTAAAAAAAAATAATAATAATAAAATGTATTCTCGGTTAGGCAACATCCATCATGCTTGGAAAACCACTCAAGTTAGGTACTCACATCCCATTGGATACTAAAGTAAAACCCACCTACTCCCCAAACACCCATAATAAAAATGAAACCATGAAAATAGCTTTAGCCCCTGTTGGCCCGGATTAAAATCTAGATTTTATTCTAAATCAAAATCAACAATTAATTTTAACCACATATTTCAAAGGACTAACAACTTTTCATCAATTTTATCAAAATCAAAATCTAATAAAAATCTAATTTTAGTCCCCACCAAACAAAGTCTTAATGTTCTTTCAAGCCCCGAAAAAAAATATATAAATATAAAAAATAAAAAATAAAAAAGGATAGAGAGAGAGAGAGAGAGAGAGAGCAATCTAGCTGAGCAACTAAAGCAAATATTCATCATAGATCCATTTTACTACAAGAGAAAAAAGAAAGAAGCACGTGCTTCTTCTTTTTTCTCCCAATGGGGATTATGGAAGATAAAAAATTCAAACGAAACCTTTTCACCGAATCTCCCAGTAAAAGGACACTCACAGGAGTATGCCTCAACCATACTGGTTAATCACAAATCAGTTTTGGTCCACTTTGGGCGCCATTGTTTTGGGGAAAATAGGTTTCGGAAATATGATTTTTTGGAGAACGTATGATTAAAAATAGGGAAAAATTGGGTTTACGTGTAAAATTATTTTATGGGAAATTATGTGATTGAAAATGAATTTTGGAAAACATGAGTTTCAGGGAAAATGGATCTCAAACATAGGCTTAGCATTGAGATGCAAAGTAGGTTTCACCTTGTTCTCAACCAGTTTCAAATTTTGTCGCATTCCTGTATTATCATTTCAAAGTGAAGTCTGGCAACCTGGTTAGGAAATACCAATACATACAATAAACCAAGGTGCAGTATACAACACACCTAGAGAAATTTAGCTGGTTCTTTTTATTAGACAGTAAGGTTCCTTAATTAGAAGTCAAGGGGGGCAGTACCCAAATATAAGCAAACTCCAGGATCACATTCACCAAATCTAAGTCCCAAGAATATTTTTCCGTTTGATTCCTATACAGCATGCTCAACAAAATAAATCCTAGAGAGTAGCTGCTCTCCCATAACTTATCACCATAAATATCGCATGCTTCTTTCAAAATTAGCTTACCCATACCATACTAAGACAACAACTTCTCCACGATTAACTTTACAGTTGCTTCAATTTTTCATTTAAGCTAATTGCCATCTTTTATGTACAGAACAGATCGTGCAGGAGAACAGAAGTGAAATCTATTTTCTGTCTTGCACAAATCAGAGTCTTTTCGGGAATATAAAACAAATCTTTGTTCACATATCATGACATACATTTGATGCTCTATACATCGTACAAGAACAGAAAAAGCAAATGTGAAACCAAGGAACGTGGGGGAGGGAGAAGTTTTATATTTGAGGAGCACAGACAAAAAACAGACCTTTGTATGCGGCCAAAGCTGATCTGGCGAAACATGCATTGTACAACCCTCTTTACCAGCTTCCCATTCGATAACAAAGCGAGCAAGGACCCCTGAACCAAAGCTAAACCACAAACTCATCAATCCAACTGCTTCGATTCTAAATACCCTTCTCATCTGTTCTGAAAATTTTTCAGGTGTCTCGTTGACAGATTTGGCTCCAGCAGAAGGCTTGTTGTCAGGGCTTACAGTGCTCTCTTCCAATTTCTCATCAGTCCTGGCACCAAGTAGTTTTCTCATTCCAAGGGCAAACATTCTAGCATTTGAAAGCCTTTGGATATCTGCCACTAACTTCTTAATACTATCAGCCTCCACATGATTGTAACTTAACACAACACCTTCTGAATCATAACGAATATGGGAATCCACATCAGATGTATTAGCAATGCGAACACCAGAACCCCAAGCAGTATTATTGCCACCCTTCTGAAGCTCCCACAAGTCTTTAAAGTGTGGATCGATGATTTTGACATCCCAATACAAGCTTCCAGGTCTCCCCAACCGCAAACATATGTATTGCCATGTATCACCACTGGCAAAAGGAAGTCGGAACCATAAGTTTGAGGATGCACTTCTAAGACCCACCTCTTCAACATATGGAATGTCGAGTGCATCCATCTGACTAGTAAGTCGAGCATGTTTGATGCATAGTGAGCAATGCCTGACTACATGAAGCAGAGCAGACACATATATACTAGAGGGTGCATTGCCTTTGTTCGCTTCAGTTATCAGATTCCCATAACTATGTTTTTCAGTTTTAATAGAAATGTCAGACGAAATGAGCATCTGCAATGGCGGCAACTGAGCATGAGCAGTTTCCATGATTTTCCTTCTCTTTTTAGCTCCTTCATTGACATCCAGATGATAAAGCGACGGAAGAGATTTTAACATATCTGATAATGTACGTTTCCGTGGCGTCCTATCATGTTTTGGAATGGCATCTTGCTTTGAGTTCACAAGATTAGCAGAATCAAGTGCTGGAGCTCAAAAACAATAGGCAATAATAACAAGATAAGCATTATTCGCAAAAAAAATGAAGGTAACTGAAAAATAAGAAACACTTTTCAAATGGTCAAGTATAAATGAGCATTTTATGATTTAAAAAACTCTTACAAGTTCAAATAATAAAGATGGTATCTTACATACGGGAGTGGCAGCCAGTGAGCTGGCATCCGAAACTCTAAAACTGCCAGATACAGCCTCAGTAGGCAAGCTTCTAGGCTCATTGGAATTCAAGCTTACCAAAGAAGTTCGAAGGTTTGTAAGACCCAAGCCAAAATGAGACGTGAAAGATGTGCCAAAATTTGAAAAGGAACCATGCCCAGAAAAAGAAGGGGCATTTGACCCTTTCTCAAGCTCAAACACCTCATCAACAATGGAGGAAAAACTTAATGGCACATTAGATCGAAGCGTGAAATTCTCATTGCTGGAGTCAGAGGGACCACACTCAGAAATTCGACAACCGTCAACATCACTAAGGATAGTAAGGATCTTTCTGTGATCAAGAAGACTCAAATTGAGCTCGTCTTCACACATGTTCATCTGACTAATATCGACATTATTTACTCGAATTACATTATTCATGTTTTCAAAAGGTTGACCTTTCCCTGTGGAATCTGCCTGAGCTTCTATTAACTTGAGAAGTGGTTTGAATTCCTTGTCGAGTTGCATCAGCAAAAAGTAAGAGCTCCCACATTCAGGGAATCCCAAGATTAATGAATTTGAACCATCCGAAATGTTCTTTGGCACCTTCACTGGAGTAAAACCATGTTCAAATACCTGAAGAATAATTGACGACACATAATTAGTTATTTAACAAAATTTAAATACACCCACACACTTTCATTAGGAAGTTTCTATTATCTATGATAGTGAAGGGAGATACGCATGATAATGGCAAGACCATTAATGTGTTCAGTTGAAGTCAAGCAACTTGTCTTCTATTGCATTCATATTCATCTCTGTAAATTAGCACCATATTGATGCAGGAATCATAAGCAAAAAATTAGGCACCTAGAGGAGACTGTCGATTGAAATCACAGGAAAGAATTTTAAACGACAACAGAAGTACAAAACTCCACCATTTTTAATAAGTCATTGAAGTTCCAGACTGCAATTCCTACTCAATAAATAAAATAAACCTCGAGTGAAGAACATACCTCAAGGCCTAAGAACCTGCCTATGCAAGCAAACAAGTGCAAAATAGCACTGCTCCGCAAGTTAATGAAAGTTTTTGTTGCAGTCATGCTTCCCTGGTTCAAAGCTTCTTCACACTCTAGCAGCACTGACGATGATATAATATTTTTGGATGAGTGAAGAAGGAAGTGACCATTCCTGCAAGTTAGAGATAGAAACTGAGACCCTAGTCCAGGAAAAAGAAGCCCCTCTACGACCAAACAAATTTACAAAAATGACAGCTGTTATTTTACTAATCAAGTGATTAGTGGCTTAATATATTTTTTGTACCTTAGTTGAACTTAAAACACCATGGTCATCTTGTTATAAATCTATGTGTTTTGCTATGAAATTTGTACCTTGATTAAAACTAAGGCACCAAGGTTGCCTCGCGTTTGGATTATGTCGTTTATTATGGCATAACTGCCTTGCTCTAGCCAATGTCTTGACTTAAGGCAATAGCAGTTCATTGTATATCCATGGAGACATGTTACTCTACCACATTAGAATTTATCGACTTGGTACGACAAGGTGAATGTCCTACGAAATATAAGAATGATTATGGCTTATAAATTCTTGACTAAGCTCGGAGGAAATTATAGAGTTCTAATTTCTATCAGAAACATGTCTATTTGGATATCAGAAACACATCTATTTGGATATGTCATATGATTGGATTGCTAGACTTGAAGTAAACATGATCTTCATCAGATATCGATATTATAAGAAAAGATCAAATAACATGGTACCCTATATCATCATGGATCGTGAAAATTTTTATTCATCACTATTTGGTAGTCATAGTCTACATTTCATATGTGAAACTAGAACTTCAATTTATATCAATACATTTAATCCAATGGGGTAATCTATAATGGAAGGATCAGATTACAGGGTGCCCTATAGCACAATGGTTCATGAAAAATTCAGTTCATCATATTTATGTGGCCATCCCTTACATTATAGATGTCACTTCTGACCTATAGCAACGCAAAGCAATAACCAGAATTATTCTCAGCAAAAAGCATGAAAAAGGATTTCTTCATGATGCCAACAAGTAAAACAATCAATTAAGTCAGAGCCAGCAAAGAAATGTCTCCCAAACAGCTAGAATATCTAAGTAACATCTCCTTGAGAACTAGAAGATTATAAGAGTATCTCCCAATACCTAGAATATCAAAGCTGTCAACTTTTCTTTCTCCTAAAGGAAGCATGGTCAGATATTCGAACCAAGGACTGAAAACAAAACCGAGCTATCAGAATTTCAACTATCAAAAAAGGTTCATTTCAGATGGTTTAAAGCTAAGAAGCCAATCCGTAAAACATATTTTAGCTCATCAACTTATCAAACTCAGCACTGCAACCTAATCACTAAGACAATGAATGGAAAGATGTCAAATCTACTCTAGATTGACTCATGATAAACTTGATTAAAACTCAATTGAGATTAATTCCCTTAAAATATCAATCCAAACTTGAACTCAAATTTAAAACCTCATCAGCTAAGCTCAAGAGGCTTTATGCTCCCACTTGAACCTACATGTCTACATCCAAATGTGACATTATTTTTAAACACACCCGTTGACGCATAAATGAGTTCACCAGGGACATATCTCACCAAACCATAATCATAGAGCTGAACATAAAACTATGTTCAACAAACAGAGCAGTTTATTAGCAGTTCACAGATGCATATGGTGAAAAGATACCCTGCCCAGTAGATAATAATTTATAAGGGGCTACAAAGCATAAACACCACACATGGCACAACACCTTACCATTCTGACCTGTAATCTACAGGTAGCAACTAAACTTCCAAGCACCATATAACAGATAGCAATAAAAGTTTACATGTTATTATGGAAAAATATTGCAAGTGGAGATAGAGAAGGCAAAACAGAAAATGTAAAAACCTTATGTTTATTCCAAGAGTGAAAAATGATGAACCATAGGCACGCACACAGAGAACTTCCCCGCCTTCATACTTCTGAAAACTGAATGTATTATCCTTCTGTACAAAGAAGATTAGAATCACATTCCCGAAACTGAAACGATAAAAATATGTACCCACACATAAAACTTAATCAGAAAACTTAATCAGATTGCAAAGATTGAAAACAAAATGTCAACAAATTCGATAAATTTATTATTCATTCGCAAATCTATATTCAAAATTGAATGATCAATTAAGTCAAAAAGAGATTGATAAAGGCAGCTCCCAGCCTGCCATTATTATTATAATAGATGCTTTGAAATATAGCCCCCGTTTGGTACCCATTTTTTCCAAAATGCATTTTTCTCTCTCTTCTTTTCAACCACACATTCTTTATTAAAATAATATTACACGTAAATCAAAAACTTTTCCTTATTTTTCAACCACACACTTCCCATCAAGTTACTATTCTAAAATACATTTTTACATGAAAATGGTTCTCAAACACCCCCATAGTATCAGAAACAATTAAATGTCATTTTGTTTAGCCTCTGAACAAAATGAACAGTCAAATATACTTACAAGTCCACAGGTACTAAGAGCTAGAAATAATAAAGGAAGAGCCCACATTTCTAAGCCCATGTTATGCCAATGTTTATAATGGATCAGATAACTTTTTATCCACACGGTTCCTGGGACCCACAAGTACTGCCTACTTATCCACTAGTCATTTCTATTTATTTTATAATTTACTGTATATAAATATAACGACCTGATCTCTGTACCCAAACTGTTAACTTAAATCATGTCCGCTCTGAAGAGCCTAACCCATCTTATCCCTCACTAATTTCTACCGTGTCCCTAGATTTGAACACAACCTCCCTTTAAAAAAGATTCAGAAATTCATGAGTAAGATCAGTTAAGCTCTTACAGAGCAGACAATACGTAAGTTAATGGTTTAGACACAAAGGTCGAGTCATTACAAAAAAATGCGAATTTAATTTGTAACGACCCGATCTTTGTGCTCAAGTCGTTAACTTACATATTTTTCGCTCTGAGAGAGTCTAGCCCATCACTTGCCTAATTAGTACTAGGATTCAAATTAAATCTCTTAAGAGAAGATCACGTGTTTGAATCTTAGGAACGCGGTAGAAATCCGTAAAGGGTAAGATGGGCTAGGCCTCCCAAGGTAGACACTAAGTAAGTTAACAGCTTGGACACAGAGGCCCCATCGTTCAAATAAACACTTCCCAAACAAGCTTTAAGGCGTCAAACAACGGCATCCCATTACAGATAAAAAAAAAGAAAGATGAGCCTATTGAAAGAGCATTTTATGTGCTTATTCAAACTTCTATTCTTATTTAATTATATATAAATTGAGCGATTATCTACTTAATTTGTGTAAATTATGTAAATTGTAGGAAAATCCCAGCATGGATACAATATATATGATGCAAGGCTATTTGGAGCTTAATTGGAGTTAATTTGAAGCAATTGAAGATTAACTAGATTGCAAGAAATCAATTGGAAATGTTAATGGAACAGAGTTAAATTCAACATTTGAAAAGTTGAGGACTGATTTGAAAACTTCGGAACTTGTCTCAAGTCAACTATTATGATTTTGGGATGAAGAGGACTTAATTGCAAAATAAAAGAAAATAGAGGAATAAAGTTACATGAGAAAAGGAGTTCAATTGAAAAATAAATTTGTCTCCTTTTATTTCTAAAACTCTTTGATAAAAACTAATTTGAACTCTTTAGAAAGAAACAATTTAAATTCTTTGGTGAAAATCAAATTGAATAAGGATTTTGCACAAATCTTTTCTATAAGTACATACCTTAGTCCAACAATTAAAGGGGACTTGTGGAGTTTCATACACATATATTCAAGCTAAGGCTTGGGATTATTGTACATATATTATTAAAACCAAAAGGAGGAAATATCAAGAAATCAATCAAGAAGCTAGGGTTTCAAGAACTTCACAAGAAGAAACGAATTATTGGTGCAAGATCTTCATCTTTATCACTTTTTCGTTAATACACAGTGATGTACTTTGATTCATTCTTGTATTTTTATTCTTCTTCCATGATGTGTAATTAAGTATTAGACGGGCACTTAAATTTGCAATTTCAACCGTCGATAACTAAAATTTGGACCATTGCTTTTCACCAAGAAAATACGGCTGCTGCAAAATTTTAGACATTGCAGCCGCAATTTTGGACCATTTTATGTCAGAATGACCTTTTGTCCTTAACATTAAATTATTTTGCATGCAAGATGGGCATTTTCAATATTTCATTTATAATATCATCAAATTTTGCTGCCAAATTGGGACCTATTCTGCCGTAACGATCAATTAATTACTCAAATTGGGAGAAAAGCTCTCCCAGACAGTCCCTTAGTTAGAATGAATGATTATAACCTAGTTTTGAACCTTAATTTTAATTAAGAAGTTTTTAAATCTCTAATTGATTTTGTGAATTGCTTTTACTTCTATTCTTAATGCTTGGATTAATTGGCCACTAATTCATTAATTTCGTGAACAATAATTACGTAGATATGCGGATTATTTATTTAAACCATGTATTAAGAGTCGTTAACTAGTATAAAATGTAGAGATATTTACGCATAAATTATTTATACATAATTGCATTTAACTAAGATTGATTCGCATATAGATATAGAATTGAATTAGTTAAATAAATACAATGAAAACTCGAGAGGCATAAATTAAATAAGAAGAATTAGATCGAGTAAACATAATCAATTGTATAAAACTTGATAATTGAAATTAAGGGGATAACACTAGTAAAATCAACACTTACACCATCATATTAAAAAATCAATTTTATTTGTTTAAAGAGAGAGAGAGAGAGAAATAAGTAGTTTATTTGTATCCAATCAAATTCAAGTTAGAAATAATTGAATCAATTATTAAATAGTAGTCCCATGAAAACGATATCCGAACTCATAGGTCCACTTTATTACTTGTTAAGATCCATACACTTATGAGATATAAAAATCGATAACACCTATCTTTTCTACTATAGCATGAAGCCTTATTAGGAAAAGGAAGACGAAAATAAGTACAATTTCACAGTGAAGAAGCAAGGTCCATGTACAAAGGATCAACTAATAAATTGTAAAATGGGTCAACGTTTTATGTTGTTAAAAAAATAAAAATTGTTTTAAGGGCAACCACTACATCACTCTTTGCTATAGAAAAGAGACTCCTAAAGAGGTTTTTGCTATAATCCACTTTCAGGAGAGTAAAGCTATTAGAGCTACACCATCGTGTATTTCTTTAGCTACTAATAAGATATGTAAAGGTTCTTAAAAAACTTTTGGGTTCTCGATAACAAAATTCTATTATTACCATTATTTTCAAACAAGCCGTATAATAATTTAGTACTTGAGTCCCCATTTCTTGTTAGAAGCCCCCTTTACTAAATAATATACAGATGATTCCCAAAAATGGTATACCCACTATCATACAAAAAGAAATGGTTAGCAAAGAGAGAACACGAGATCTCCGTTCTTATGATCCTAGAACGGTTTTACTTATCTACTCTGCTAATGACAGTGACATCCAGTTTCAGAAAAAGAAAAGTTGTACTCTCTCTGAGCCAAAAAGAGAAGGAAAAGAACAAACCCATCACAAAACTAAAATAAGGTTGTTTTTTTTCAACATAATGTAGACTCCATTAATCCATAGCATGTCTGTGATTTTCCAATAGAGGGGATGGTATGATGATAAACGTAGGATCAAAACCATTGATCCCACCTCGGCTACAACATTATGGACCAAAAGCAACCATACGTGATGGCTTACCATGTTCTGGGAGTTCTCGATTTGATTTGATATTGTATTTTGAATAGTTTTTAAGTGATGGTTACAAAAATTCTGTAATTTCTATAGTGGATTATAGTTTTTAACAGGTTTACAAGGTTCACTCTAAGTCTTATTCTTTTATATATTTGTTTTTGTGTTTTTGCCAAGCTCGAGACCAGTTAAATTTCTACTTCTGCTTCATTGGGCTTCATCATATTTAATAATAACTTCTACATATCTCTGCAACCCAAGAAGCTTCTCCTTTCCATATTCCAAATTCTTGATGAACCCTCACTAATGAACTCCTATTATTTCTTCCAGCTCTTAAGCAGTTGCCCATAATCTAAAGCTCTGTCTCCAACTGTTGGCTACATTTACAGAAAAATAAATATACCTAGCTGCAAACATGATCTTTATTAGATAACTATACCCAATCCTTTTTCTACAACTGAGAAGAATAATATCCTTAAACTGGTCCTAAATCGTCTTGTGAATTTACTTAAGCGAAAAGTGATAGGTTAAGAACAATCCTTTGAACAGTTCTTTCACAGTTATGCTAAACAAATTTTCTTCTTTTTTCTTCTTGATTGTTTTGACAACTCCACTTGAACATGTCTTGTAACAATAACGAACTCAAAAGGTAGCTAGTGAGATGATCTATAAATCAAGAGTAAACATATATTTCACCTGCCACGCCCACTTAGATACATCATTTATATAACATTAAATTCAACAGAACAACAGAAAGAAAATAGCATGCATATTACAAATCTAACCTTTTTGTTGTCAGCATCACATTCATCTGTATAGAATTGAAGTTGGACGTCTCCTCGAGCTCGCCATATCTGGTCATTCTTCTCCAGTTCCTTACATATCTCGAGCAGGCGAGTATATTTATTACAATAAATAGCTCTAAGCAACAACATTTCCACATCAATGCAACTTTGGTTAAGGGAAAATTCAGCCTCCCTGCCAGTTCGAGGATCAATCACAAATGTGCTATGGAGGCACTTTATCTGCAAATCTGGACCAGGTTCAATTTTCATGTATGGGCATGTTCCTGTGCCAGATGCGCCTGAGTTTTTATCAAAATCCAACCAGTATATAATTTTTAATCCAGGAGTTCGTAAACCAGCTGAATCAGTTTCTCCATCCTGAGTGCTCTGGGTCGAGTTAGCATTCCCTCCCTGTCCACTACTCCCATCAGATATCAGCTCAAACCGAATTGCATCTTTCCATCTGCCTTGCCTAAGTGCA